GAAACTTCTATTGATTGTAGGACCAATGTTTCTTCTTCACTATTTAACTATGCAACATTTCCATTTTACCAAATATATTTTATAGAAAGAGAATTCTATTCTATCTTCAAAAAATACCTTAGCAGGAAAAAGCAACTCCTCAGTCCTGGCCTACAACAGAATCAGCACACTCTGGCTTGTGGAATGATCTAGAACACCACCTGATTGTGTATGTCCTATGGACTAAGTATGGCTCTCACATATTGAGATGTGTTGGGGGGAAAAAACCCAAGAGAATAATATTGTGGCACATGAGAATTATATGGAATTTTCCATATAGGGTCCCTATGCAAAGGTTGGGGTTTTTTAATCATTTTACTGGGGGGCTCTTATAGCTCTTACAGCATTCCATACATCAATTGTATCAGGCATATTTGTACATATGTTGCCATCATTTTCTAAACATATTTGAGCCCTTGTTATCAGCTCCTCCTTTTTCCCTCCCCCCACCCCGCTCCCACCATCGTGACCCCTTGATAAATTATAAATTAGTATTGTTTTCATATCTTACACCGACTGCTGTCTTCCTTCACCCACATTTCTGTCGTTCATCCCCCTGGGTGGGCGGCTTATGTGTGGATCATTACGATCGGTTCCCCCTTCTTCCCCTCCTCTCCTTACCTTCCCCCTATCCTGCTATTGCTACTCCCCTTTCTGTGCCTGAGGAGTTTATCTGACTTGAAATCCCTGTGTCTGAGCTCTTAACAGTACCAAGTGTACATGCTCCAGTCTAGCCAGAGCTGAAAGGCAGGACTGGGGTCATGAGAGTGGGGGGGTGAGGAAGCCTCAGCAACCAGAGGAAGATTGTGTGTTTCGTTGCTCTGGTTGACTCATCCCTTCCTTGTGATCCTTCTGTGAGGGGCTGTCCTGTTATCTACAGATGGGTTTTGGGTCTCTGCTTTGACCCCCCTCATTCTCAACAATCTGTTTTTTGTTGTTGTAGTTTTGGGTCTTCTGGTACCTGTTAACTGATTCCATTGATAGCTCATGATCACACAGCTGATGAGCTTCTTCCATGTGGGCTTGTTGCTTCTCTGCTAGATGGCCGCCTATTTAACTTCAAGCCTTTAAGAACCCAGATGCCATATCATTTGATAGCCGGGCACCATCAGCTTTCTTCACCACATTTGCTTATGTACCTTTTTTGTCTTCAGCTATCTTGTCAAAGGGTAAGTATCACGGAATGCCAGTTTGTTAGAAAAGTGTTCTTGTGTTGAGGCAGGGCTTGAGCAGAGGCCCAGAGTTCATCCACTTCCTCAATGTATTGCCATATAAATATATGTACATAGGTCAATACCTGTATTTTTATGAATTAATATATTTATATTATGTCCACACCTATGTTTATAATTCTATTCATAGCTTTGCTTCCTAGATATTTCCTCTGTTTCTTTTTACCTTCCTCCTACCCCACCATCACACTTGCCCTTCTACTGCCTCTTAGTAATTCCTCTCAGCTAGATTGCTGTTGATCCAACACCTCTGGGATCTCTATGTCCTCCTCGTTGCTTTTAATTCCCTAGTTGTTCCCCTGTCTATGGCGTTGTTTACTCACCACTCCTTTCCCTCCCCACAAGTCCCTCCAGAACCATCGGTCCTGTTGCTTTCTCCTTGGCTTGCTTCCCATGCCTATCTTATATAGGTAGGCAAAACAACAATAACAGAGACAAAACAAAAGATTGAATAAAAAGAGAGAAAAAAGAAGAAAAAGAAAAGGGGGGGAAAAAACTAGCCCAGACTCCCTCCAAAATGAAAAACCATACATAATTCAGGTCTGTCCAGTGACCTTTACGATTACCTCCCCATCAGTGCTCGGGGATTCTGGGAACTGCACCTCCTAGCCTGAAGTCTATTTGGGAGGGGCTGCTCAGGGGGGTTGTGGCTTTGCTCTGCTCCCGTTGCTGATCTGTTATGTTTCCTCTTGGTTCACCCCACTGTGGGGGAGGTCAGACTGGACTCAAGTTTGATTTATGTTTTATACCCTTCCTTCTATGGATTGTGCCTGGCTGTTTGCACAGGACAGCAGCCGAGAGGAGTAGTTACATCAAGACCTTACCTTTAGACCTGTCCAACCCAAACTGTCCACTGTCTGCCCCTCCCAGGAAGCTTGCTGAGAGTCTTGGACTCTAAGGACCAGCCCTCGGCTTTCACCTTTTGAAATCCATCTCAAATGTTAGCTTAGCCACGAGCTCTCTCATCAGTCAGAGGTCGTTCTCTTCAGGAAATATTGCCCGTGTTAGACTTGATGGTGAATTTTAAATTTATTAGCAGTGGAAACCAGTTTTATTCCCTAAGGGATCATCTGTCATTATCAGTATTCATCAGAACGGTGAAAGAAAGTTTGTTCATAGCCAAGGTTGCTTTTGTGTCCTTGTTCAGGTAGAGCTCATTTTGAAGCATTTCATAGTTGGACTGTTGTCGTTTTAAATAATAGGGGATATTTTCTTGTACCCGCAATCGTGCTTCATGATAAATGTATAAGCAGTTTCCAGAACCAGTGGGAGTGAAAAGGGAAGGTAGCGGGAAGCTTTTCTTTTGCCACACCTTAGCATCTAGTGGGCAGATGGAAAGCGGATGTTTGATAACTGACTGTAATTCCAGTTATGCAGAGTGCACCGCGACGACATTCCTAAGAGGCTGCATGTATCTCGTGATGTGGTGTACGCTAGTGACCTATTAACTTGTGCTATAAAATAATTTTGGACTATATTCAAATCCCATGAATTTACTTATTGCTTTTCTTCCTCCCCTTCCCCCCACATCCCCCGTTTGAATTAGCAGAAAGTGTGAACTTTTAGATGCTGGAGGTTGAGCATTGGGCTTCTAACCATAAAACAAAACTAAACAAAAAGACCCTGACTTTTCCCCAGTTACAGCAAAAAAAGTCTTTCCATGTGGTTATGTAATCTGTACCTGTAGCTGTTACCTGTCCGTTACCTGGAGCGCAGAGTTTCAAAGCAGACGATCGCTTTGAAGATAGTCAGTGATCTTAGAGGAAATGAAATATAGAGAGTGTTTTCTAGATTTCCTCTAATAAGTTTTGTTCCCTGCAATGTCAGTAATTCCTTAATGGTTTAATTCAGTATTCTCATCCTTGATGTTTCTTCTAAATTAAAAACTTAGGTAAGGTAAGAACTTAATATCCCTACTGTTCAGTATATTTATGTATTTGATACTGATTTGAAGATCACTGGGGAGATATTTTTCAGAGTTTTGTGACTTAACAGCCCATATTAACGAGCCGTAACAAAATACATTGTGAAACCAGTACATACTATGTGTATATCATTGGTTAAATGGATGTGAACGTTCTAGTGCGGACTGCAGCCTACGTAGGCTCCTAAAAAGCGATGATCAATGGAATATGGGTCCCTCGGCCACAGATTTGGGAAGGTTACTGACCACTGGAGGTCGCTTTTACTGTGAACAGAGTATTACCTTCCTTGTAAACTCCAGTTATGGTGTTCTGTGTGATTTATTACACTAGTTAAAACAGAAAAGCCGTAACCATCTCTCTCCTACCACTATACCTTCAATTAAGCCATGTGTCTCCGTCTTCCCCCAAGTCTCTTTCAGACACAACAGTTATTGGGTATTTTTTCAAAGTTTTCTAATTCGTTCGTTGGTAATAGTTATTTGGCCTACTTTCTTTATGTCTAAGCTGATAGCCTAATGCCTTTTCAGACTGATATTTTTTGGAAAAATACCTTTTTCCAAAGGTATTTTTGGTTTCTTTGGTTTCCAAAGGTAGTTATTTGGTTTCTCTTTTTTATCCACAGCTGGAAAAAATTGAAGGTTTGGGTTTTTTAAAAAAAATCTTTTTATTGGGGGCTCATACAACTCTTATCACAATCCATACATACATCCATTGTGTCAAGCATATTTGTACATTTATTACCCTCATTCTCAAAATATTTGCTTTCTACTTGAGCCCTTAGTATCAGCTCATTTTTCCCCTCCCTCCCCATACCCCCTCCCTCATGAACCCTTGGTAATTTATAAATTATTATTATTTTGCCATGTCCTACACTGTCTGACAACTTCCTTCACCCACTTTTCTCTTGTCCATCCTCCAAGGAGGAGGTTATATATAGATCCTTGTGACTGGTTCCCCCTTTGTACCCCACTTTCCCTCCACCCTCCAGGTGTCACTACTCTCACCACTGGTCCTAAGGGGTTCATCTGTCCTGGATTTCCAGTTCTTATCTGTATAGTGTACATGCTCTGGTCTAGCTGGATTTGGAAGGTAGAACTTGGATCATGATAATGGGGGGAAGGAAGCATTAAAGAACTAGAGGTAAGTTGTATGTTTCATCAGTGCTATACTGCACCCTGACTGTCTCGTCTCCTCCCCGCAACCCTTCTGTAAGGGGGAGTCCAGTTGCCTACAGATAGGCTTTGGGTCCCCACTCCGCACTCCCCCTCATTCACAATGATATGGTTTTTTGTTCTTTGATGCCTGATACCTGATCCCTTCAACACCTCATGATCGCACAGGCTGGTATGCTTCTTCCATGTGGGCTTTGTTGCTTCTGAGCTAGATGAAAGCTTGTTTCCTTCAAGCCTTTAAGACCCCAGATAGCCGAAGGTTTTTTGTTTTGTTTTTTAACTCCAAAATATTGAACCTATGTGAAAATGAACTACTAAGGGTGCAGCAGGTGTAAGGGTGTCTTTTGTTGCTGTTCCTAGTCGGTACGGTGATGTGCTACCAGCACCCCTGGGTCAGCGCCAGTACTGTTTTTCTGACATCACCATGCCACAAGAACCCATACTTCCGTTGATCACTGTAAAAGGAGGTTTCTACCTGAGTCCCCTCACCTTCCGTGCAGGGCCAGACCACGCCTTCACATATGTGTCTGCTGTGTGGTGGTTAGGTTGCATCCAGTTGGGCAGCCCTGTGTGCAACAGGGCGAAACGCAGTCCTGCACCATCCTCACAGTGGTTCTTATGACCCGGCTCACCGCGCAGCCGCTGTCGATCCACCTGTAGAAGCTCGTCGTCTTCTTCGCCGGAGAAGGAAGCAGATAAGAACTTTCTTGACTTGAGGAGAGGGTGCCTGGCTGTCAGCGTTTCCATGTTGCTGATTCAGTTTTGTTTCCCAGGCTGTTTGCTGACACCACAACTTTCTTATCTTCAGCTTGACAACTCCTACCTCCTTCCTTTTGAACTCTTGATTTCTGGTGACTTGCTCAGTTGCTTACTCCTGATCTCCTGGCTCTTTGTGCCCCCTGATTTTTTTTTTATCATTTTACTGGGGGCTTTTACAGCTCTTATCACAATCCATACATCTATCCATTCTGTCAAGCACATTTGTCCATCATCGTTTTCAAAACATTTTCTATCTACTTGAGCCCTTAGTATCAGCTCATCTCCCCACCCCATGAACCCTGATAATATATAATTTTTTTCATGGCTTACGCCTCTGAGCTTGTACTGCTCAACTCTCCTATGAAGCTGGCTTCTAAGGATTTGCTGTTCTTGTCTAGGTCCTGTTGGTGTAGTGGGTGGCCTTGGGCTGTTAACCATGAGATTAGTAGTTGAAAACTACCAGAAGATCCGAGGGAGAAAGAGGAGACTTTTGACTCCCATGAACAGTGAGTCCTGGAAACCCACCAGTGCAGTTCTCGCACCGTGTCGCAGAACCAGAGCCGACTCCATGGCAGCAAGAGCACTGCGCAGAGTGATAGTCCTCGTAGTCACACTCCAGCCGAGAGTGCCCACCTGTGACAGAATTCCACGATATAGATATATATAGTCCACAGCCATCTGAAAACCCAGAGAGTAACAGTTTACTTGCTGGCAAAAGAAGAAAGAAAGAAAAGATATGTGCTCTGTGTTCAGTTGTATGGTTATATCAATAAGTAAAAGTGTTGAACACGTCGTAACTTGCTGCCCCGTGAATCTCCCTCCACCATCCTGGCCTCGGTCCAGGATCTCGGACAGACTTCCCCAGGACCCAGGAATGGATGGATGGGTCATTGCTTGGTCCCAGAGGAGCTTTGGCTCTTGTTTGCTTATCTGATCTTATTGGCTGCTTCCATTACCACATTAATTATGAAATAATTTTTAAATTGACCTTGCTCTCAGAGAGATATGTGAGAATTCTTAGAGAAAGTTCACTTTCTAACCTGTTAATAACTGGCTCGACCTGCAACAATAACACGACACCAGAAAGTCATTGTGTTGGACAGGGTTCTCTAGAGAAACAAAACCAGAATGTTAATAATGTTATATATATTTATACAGATAGATAGATAGATAGATAACAGAAGAAATAAACAGTTAATTTAATTATAAAGCAGTACAAATGGCTCAGTGCAAGTCACTCCCGTGAGACAGTTGTGAGACACTGGCAATCCTTCAAGTCTTGAGGGCTGCCAGGTTGTCCTCTGTAGACCAATTCAGGCTATCCGGGCACAGGCAGCAAACAGCAAGGCAGGTCACCAACAGTCAACCAGATGACAAGGTCCGACAGTCCCCAGCTCAAGAGATCTAAATTCCAATGGTGTGGCGAAGCAAGTCTTGAAGGAACCTCAAATTCCAGCGACACAGTCCACAGGTTAGGTGTCCCATAGGTAGTGTAGCTTGCAAATTGAGGCAAAGAACAAGCAAGGCAGCCACACACTGGTCCGATGATCAAAGAGCAAGAGACAAGAAAGCAAGGCTCGCCAAGCCATTTCTCTCTCCGCCCTTTAGTTAATCCCACGTGTGTTTATTGGCTAGGTTGGCACAATAAACTAACTACCTCAGTCATCATTTTTCTTTCAGGATGTTCTAAAATTTCCATACAAAGTATGTAGTATTTTAATTTATTCATTCAACCATCATAAAGGGTGTCTGTCTACCACTACACTGTATACTAACAAATAATAAAATAAAAGCTTTCACAGTGAGTGTAATTACAAGTTGGAGAAACTACCCACATACAGAAAATAGTTGAGGGCCATTTATAAAGGACCATGACCGAGTGTCTGAGATGCTTTAAAAAATATCTGTATATGTTCATATGAATATTGAAGGGCTATGAAGTTGAGGAGCAGAAGCATTCATCTGAGTCCACTTCTTTAGGAGTTGGTGGACCAAAAATTGAAAGACAAATTATAAGGACATGCCTTTTAAGAGAAACAGCATGAGAAAATGTAGAGACACAGAAGTTGGCCCTAAATACGCATATATGGAGGTAGAGAAATTCAACTTGGTAACCCCTCCAGGACTGAGTGGTGTTCCATGAGATCAAAAGGCAATTAAGTATTAGCCCAATCTGTATAAATATTGCAAGCTCATAGCAGAAGAAGTGATTCTTTATTCTGGAGCAAGGGATATGGCTGTGCTAGTGTCTCTAAGATCAACTTGGCCACCGGATACAGGCAGAGCTATGATGGCGAAGGAGGCTGCAACTATAGTAATGGAGGAATTGGTGCGAGTTTTGTCAATGCTGATGGTTCCAAAAATGGCAAGGAAAACAGCTTCTCTCTCAGACATTTCAGAGGAAGAATCAGTAGACCTTGATAACCACTTGCATATGGCAGAGAGAAAAAGAACAATTAAAATAGCTCTACTGAAAGGCAGAAAATGTTAAATTTAAATGTATCATAAGGGAGATCAAACGATATGAGACTAAATTTTAACCTAACTGCATCTGCAAGAATCCACTTTGCAGTGCATTCTGCACGGTAGCAAGGCTATTCACATCCCTGGTCCATGCTCAGAGGGGATTCCCCAGGCCTTATAAGTAAAGAAAGCCCTGTCTTTTCGCCCACACTCTGGTACAGCTGGTGATTTAAAACTACTGACCTTGGGGATCACAGCCCAGTGTGTACCCTAAAATTTATTTCTAAATGTTAGTTACTAAAAATAGTTAAAATAGATTTTAAAGGGAAGAACAAATTTGGGAGACTTAACATTACTCAGTTTCAACATTTACAATAAATAACTTTATGCTATCAAGTTCGTGACAGAATGAAAAGCATGTAGCTCACTGGAACAGAATTGAGAACCCAGAATTATTTAAGTTCAACCATTTTTGATAAAGATGCTAAGATTTTAATGGGGGAAAGGACAATTGTTTCAACAAACAGTGTTTGGAACAATTAGATATCCATTTGTAAAGCATGCATTTAGCCCCTAACCTCTTATCATGTGCAAAAATTAGCTCTCAGAATGGATATTGGCGTTAAGTGGAAAACATAAAACCATTGAATTTGTGAAAGAAACAAAGAAGGACATTTTTACCACTTGAAGTTAGGCAAAGAAAGATACAGCACCTAAAGCATGGTCTATTAAAGAAGCAATTGGTACATGACTGAACTATGGACTGCTATGATGTCTGTGAGAGCTCCCAATCGAATGACAGAAGAAGAAGTTGGTACATTGGTGTTAGGTGCCCTTGGGTTTGTGCACATCCAGAGTGACCCCGGCCATCGGGATGGAAAGACTGCCCAGGGTGGTGCCATCCTCACAACTGCTGTGCTAGCTGAGTGGGTTGTTGAAGGCACTGTGCCAGTAGATCTCATCAAGGGCCTGCCTCTCTTTCTCTGCTCTTCGACGACTTTACCCAACATGCAATCCTCTCCCAGGGGCTCGTCTTTCTTGATAATATGTCTCAAGTACACAAGATGACATCTGACCATCATTGCTTCTAAGGAGCATCTGGCTAGACCTCTTCAAATATAAATGTTTGTTCTTTTTGCATGATACTTCGCCATGGAAATACATGGATTCTTCTTGGTACATTAGACTTATCAAAATTTCAATCTAATGTGCTTCAAAAGACCTCAGTAGGAAAACGAAAAAACAACTAAGCAAATACAAGAAAATATTTGCAAATTACTTTCTAATAAATGACTTGTTTCAGGATATGTAAGTAACTCTTAGATTTCAATAAGGAGATTATTCATTTAAAAAGAATAAAATATGAATAGACATTTTAACAAATAAAAAATGATGAGCTAATAGTACTTGAAAAGATGCTCAACATTATGAACCATCAAGGAAATGCAGTGAGGTCATGAATTGATAACATGGTACAGGTAGCCACTAAGATGCTTATGCCTAAAAAGACAGTAAGAAATGCTGACCAGGATATGGAGAAAAGGCACTAGGGCCCTCATTGCGGGTGGGATTCTGAATGTGCACAGGCACTTTGGAAACGAGTTTAGCAGTTTTCTAAAAAGTTAAAGATCGTATACATTTATCACATGAGATAAGAGTTGTATGAGCCCCCAATAAAATTATTTTTTAAAAATTATCACATGATCCAATGTTTCACTCCTGAGCATGTATCCAAGGTACATTGACGTATGTTTGCACAAAGATGTACAGGAATTATTTCATAATTAATTGTAGCATAACAGCATTATTTATCATAAAAAACTGAAGACAGTCCAAATGCCCACCAACTGATGAATGGATAAGCAATGTATAGCCATATAACAGGATTTAGAATTAATAAGAACAAACTGCAGGTACATGCTACAACATAATGAACCTCCAAAACATGCTGCATGAAAGACGCCAGGCACAAGAGATCACATATGAGGGGGTACCCCCCAAAATGGAAAAAGCTCCGCTGAGTGGAGCTTTTGTAGTATGCATTTTTTCCCGCTAGGCGAGTATCAAGCAACTTGCTCTGCGTTAGTGCACCCCACACCTGGTGCTCTCTGGTCACAGTGAATTTTTTCGTAAAAGCAGTTTCACTCAAACCTCATTTTTTTGTGATGGCCAATTTAAGAGAACAGCGTGTGGCTGTGAAATTTTGTTTCCTGCTCAGGAGAAGTACCACAGAAACTGTTGTGATGTTGAACACACTTTACAAGGACAGCACTCTAGGAAAACCCTCAAATATATGAGTGGTTTTCTCATTTCAAAAACGGTGAAAGGTCTATTGATGACAAACCTCTTTCTGGACGTCTGTCAACTTCCTGAAAACAAATTGACAAATGGCCCAGACCAAGAATAATAATCTTATTATGCAGGCTTTTAAAAAATACGTGCTGAATTTTACATTTCCCTCTTTTCTTTTCTTCTTCCCGCCCCCCTTCCCATTAAGGCTGGCAGTGGGCATTCCATGGTATGAA